CCACATATGTTACCTTATAAATGTCCATAATCTTATGATGTCAAATTTTTGCTATCATAACTTAAAATATTTTCGAGCAATCTCATCTATTAATGATGTCAATATAGAATAAAAGCGATTTTCGTTACGAGTATTATAACTAAACACATCAATAATCACATATATTGATATAATCAAATGACATAGATCAAGTATAGATATTGTGACATACAAAAATGAGGCCCAATTAAATGGTCCAAAGAATGAAACCCAGTTAGGAAATTCGAAGGATGGACCCAAACCCAAGACGGAGTTATGTAATGGAGGCACATCATCGCCCAATCCTACGAGACACCCAAACGCCCAAGATCTGGGCGAGCCTGTCATCGCTCAAGCCTGTGTGACGCTCAAAATTTAGGTGAATATAGTGTTTTGGTTACTGTTCGAAACAACGGTTATTAAAGCAGTTAATAGGTAATCTTATACATTCCACGATCCAAGAATCTCGGTTACAAGAAATTAAAAGATGTGGTAATGGAAACGGTTGAAAACGGTAGTTTCATGACAAGTCATCCACGATGGAGAAAGTGGGTAGTTACAGGACGATGAGCAATTTCCAGGAGTTTTCAAACGATTTTACAAGAGAAACTGTCAAATGAATATAAAAGAGAAAGAAGAATCTACAAGAGAAAAAAGATCAAACAAACTCTCAAACAGAGAACTATGTAATTTCATTTCTTAGTTAACTTTCAATTATTTCCTTCTAGAATTTGTGTGCTTGCGCCCCTTGGAGGCACTTTGTTTCATCCACATTGTAATCATCAATAAAACACTCATTGTTGGGACTTTGTCTCAAGGGGTTGTTGTTATTCCTTACACAATCGTCTGGTCTATCTTTTAATTGTTAGTGATGCTCAATTTCCTCGTGAAACATATATATAATATGAAAATTACATGTAATGTGATCAAAACATGCATATTTCCAATTGATCATAGTGATCAAAACATGCATATTTCCAATTGATCATACCTTATTCTTTAATGGGATGAAACCAAAAACTTTAATCGGATTGAAAACTAAATACTTTATTACTAAAATTAACCTGAATATCTATAATCATAAAATGTATTAGAATCAAACAACAACCAAATATAAACTCTCGCTAACCTGAAATATCGTCAAAAATATACAATACCCATATGAACAATATGCTCATGAAAGACCTTTGGTGATAGACCTTTAATAAACGGACCCGTAATTATAAAGTTTGTTTCAATATGCTTTATAGAAATCTGATCACTCCAAACTTACTAGGAACTAAATATCAATAAACTTTGACATCAAGTTCCTGTTGGAATATAAAATTGCTATCGTCATAGAATAATTTAAGTGGTCTTTCAATTCTATCCAAGATGTACAACATAGAGACAAAATTTCGTAGTCTATTCCATAATTAGAAACAAAATATACAATGATCTTCAATTGATATAGTTTTTTGTATGTGATCATGCACTCCTTAGTTCTCTATAAATACCAAAAATCCGCTAGTTGCTTTCCAAATATCCATCCCAGATTTCCACTAGTTGCTTTCCAAATATCCATCTTAGATTAACTTAAGTATTTGTTCAATATTCTAAAAGGGCATGTGGTCACATCTCACCATATTTCAAAAGGGCACGCAGTCACATCTCATCATATAGGAAAAATTTTGGAGTTCAAAGGTTGAATTATGTCGTCGCATCACTTTAAACTATGATGTAGCATAGTTATAAAATTTGGCCGAATCTCATGTTTCCTTATATGGTTAAAACTCAACTTGGTAAGATTTTGGGTGATATCTTTGACCTAGACTCGAGCTATATAAATACCAGAATGTCTCCTACACCTAGGAAGAGCCTCTTTCACGCAAAGCAACTCAATAACATTGAGATTTTTCGAGAAATCCCTTGAAAGAAATGGGTAAATTCATATTTGTGAGAGGTTTCATTTATGGAATTGCAAGAAGATTATCAAGTATAATTCACATTGAAAAATTGGCACAAGGATTGGGAGGACAATTCAAGAGATATCAAAAGTCCATCAAAGTCATTTAAGAATTCAATCTCTCTCTTCACTTATTAAATTTTCGTGTGATGCTTATTAAACTTAGAATGATTGCTTGTAATTTAAATATGCTATGCTAGATTTTTACTTTGCTAGGATGAGAAGAACCCTTGTTATGAGATTTTTTGTTATAATAATTAGTTTGACATTAACTTGTTTGAGTGCTTGGATGTTTATTGTGGTTTAGCTTGTTTTTCAATTAATTGACCACTAGTTGAATTGTTTGTGAGTTTTATTGTCATCGATAATAGGATCATTAGCACGTAGTAATAAGCATAATAAGGTTCGATAGAGTATATAGATATACATCTGTTGATACCGACCTCGGAGGTCGTCCAGCTCGGAC